CTGTGGCATTTCTCCTTGCTTCCCACTGGGAAATAGGAAGGAAGTGGGAAGTTGTTTTCACCTTCAGCCACATAAGGCTACTGACCGGAGGCGACTTTCAGGTCTCCGAGAACTTGATAGGTATACCCTAGTGATAGAGCCCCGAGCTAGAGCCTGGAGTCCTGGAGTCTGGCGCTGTCCCACATCTGACATTATCAACATATGAAAGGCCAGCTGGCTAGAGGGACCTCTGGTGATAAAGAGGGTTGCACTGAAATTGGCCTGCACTTGAAGATTGTGGAGGGGCCAGAGATGCATATGTGCATCCCACATGTCAGATCTGGATCCCTCAGAAGGAAAGAAGGCTCAGTCATCTAGAGGGACAAAGGACAAGTCATCTGGAGGGACAGTCCTCCCAGAAAGGGTGTGGAGGGAGCCACTGAGAGTCAGGGACTGTCCAAGGAGAGTGCCATGTCAAGGAATAGGAGGGTCCCCTCCAGGAAGGAGCCTGTAGAGAGACTGGCATCTGTCTGCAGGCCCTGCCCAGAGGGCACCGATGTGGATTACAACTAGAGAAGTCAAGGCAGGCACTTTCTGCCTCTTCACTCTCTGCCTTTCTGGCCCTAACCATGGAAAAGCCAGAGCAACAGAGAAGAGGACAAAGAATACAACGGTGAGGAATAGTAAAGAATCCAACCACCCTCCCATTCCCCCCACTGCTAGTTTCCTGCCTGACAGAGGTCCACATTGTGGGGGACGAGAGGCTTTAAAATGGATGAAAGATTGAAGTTTGCTATTCAACAGGACTGGACTTAACTAATGCCTGGAAAATTAGACAATATGTTAACACCTGAGGATTATGGAAAAGCTGGGAGAGCTGCCCAAAGTTTCATCCAGGATAGGGAAAGACAAGTCAACAGAAAAGTTTAGAGAAAAGGTAAAGCCCTGCTTCTTCAATCAGCTGGTCACCTGATGCCTTTGAGAACAAAACTGCATCTAAAAGCTTTATATCAGATTAGGCTAGCCCATAAAATGTATCATCAAATGCTGCATGAATTATCCTCGTTTTATTATATAGGCGATATTATTCAGCTGCCTCAATAGTTCTAGGACAAAGGCAGAATTTTAGTAAATAAAAATATTGATTATACATGACTTCATCACTGATGCCTGTTACAAGGGTAGACACTGTAGATGACTCAGAAATCCTAAGCAAACTCAGTATGCAAACACATCTGATGTGCCCACAATTACTGAGCTTTATTTCTTAATCTCAGGAGGCATCAAGGCCTTGGATGACTTATATCTATGTGCTGTTTCTTGGAAATACCCAAGAATATTTGGGAGGGGTCCCTATTTCCCTTTCAACCCTGAAATTATTTTCATAACCACTCTCCTCCTCTGACCTGGGAGGGCCCGCCGTTCTCCTCCAGGCAGGACCACCTTCTGGGAAGCTCTTGCCCAAGTGGGGTTCTGATCTCTACTCTACCTGCAACATCCTAGTCTTAGGAGCAGGTGAGTGCCGGGAATGTTATAAAGGCACAGGGTACAATGGACAACAACAGGCAAACTTTATGGCCTTTAGTGAACATCTCGTTCTGCTGCATACCCTTTTGCTATCTTATTTTCCACCGGTCAAAGAGTGCCTTCCATCCTGATTCCATCCTCAAGTAGCTCTTTTGCAATTATAGTTTTCCAAAAAACCTTGGTAGAGAATATCTGTGCCCTAAGAGTCCAAATGTTCTATGCTATAAATGAACTTAGGCTGTATTGGTCACCCAACACTCTCAAATTCATTGTCTTGCCCAAATCAAAAAGTTCTGGGTGTAGGGATGAACTATTCCCCCATAACCTTGCTACCAGGTTTTTATGAAAGCAGGTCTCAGACTAAATTCTGCCACATGTACAGATATTGATTAAACAAACTTTTATTAGTAGTAGGCATAAAAACATCATACAACCCCATGTGGTTTATAGGTGCTCTGACCCCACCTTGCAAGGAACATTAACCAGAGGCAGATACCACAATATTCCAGAGGCAGGATTCTGCTGTCCATATTGTCCACAGAAAGCTCCCAGAATCATCCCACTCTGGCTCAACACAGGACCACTTAGGGACCAAACCTTGAGGGCCATCCCCAAAGTAACAGGCTATAGGACTTGCTAGGGTGGCCAATGTCTCTAAAATAGAGCCAATCTCCATATCTGGAGAACATTTAATTTTACTAAGAAAAGCTTATTTCCAACATCTGTTATGCAGATTAGCAAGACATAAAGTTCATTCATGAAAACCCATTTCTGACATTCATTATGTTAACTAATAAAGTCTCTGGTGGTGATTGAAATATAGCAGCTTAAATACTATACCAGCTGCCTTTGGGGTGTGGACTTTCAGATTAAATGCTAGCTGACCACCCCTGGAGTGTGAATTGTTGTCAAGGGCAACTGACAGCCCTTAGAAAGTAGCTCAGATTCATTCTCTCTCTCTCTCTCTCTCTCAGACACACACATCCATGCTGAAGTAATTTAAAGCAAATTATAGACATCATAACAATATACAAATAGAAAATATCATCTGCCCAAAGTAACTCTTATAGAATGCTATAATTGGCATTCATAATATTAAGTAGGAAAATCCTTCCAATAATATAAAAGTAATGCAATGTCTTGGTTTTATTCTTACAAATTCCACCTTTTTATTTTTTAATTTGGGAACATAAAATCATGAATTAAGTTAAAATCAACCACAATCCTATATAGAAGTCTTTTTCTACAGGCTCACACATTTAGACACACTTTTCTTTTATAATATTGGCCACTGGGTGTTATATGCAACTAACAAATCGTTAAACACTACATCAAAAACTAATGAGGTACTATATGCCGGCTAATTGAACATAATAATAAAAAATTTAAAAAGTAAAATAAAATAATTTAACTTGAAAATTAATTAATTAATTAGTTAAAATTAAATTGGGTCCTGAAGAGAATACTGGAACATTTTAATTTGTCATTAAGTACTTTTTCAAAAACTCGAATTCAGATGCTACCTATTATTTTCTCCCATAGCTACATCATAATTGGGTAAACTAACCCTCTATAATTTGTGATTATTTTAGACTGTTGTTGATCTTTTACCACTTCAACACCTGTCCTACCTCTTAGCAGGACACAGGTGGTACACTTACCTTGGGACACTCAAGGAGCGTTTAATCAAGGTACTATTTACCTCCCCAAAAAGGTACTATTTACAAAGCTGAGGAGAGGATTTAAGAAAAGCAATGGCAGATGGTGCACTGCCTGGTGGCTGGAAAGGCCGGGGAGCTGTTACCCTCCCCAGGCCTGATGGAGAATGAGTGCACACCAGAAACCAGAGAGAGCATATGGGGAGAGCTACATATGTAGCTGCATCAGGGGGAGACAGCCAAGCCACGGTGACCCGGCCGAGAGGAAGTGGCAGGAATAAAATCAGGTCCCCAACCTGTGCCTCCCTTTGGCCAAACCAAAAGCCAAGGGGCAAAACAGCCCTCTACTGTAGTGCAGGGAATCAGCGTCCCAACACAGAGCAGGGTAAAGGATGGAGAGTGAATCGGGAAAGGCAAATGTGCCACAACTGTGAGAAATATTTTTTTATTGTCAGGCACAAAGTCCCGTGAAATGTACACACTTAAAGAAAGATAAGTATATGATAAATAACTTCAATATTAAGAAATACTGAGCACAGTATTGTGCTCAAATATTGATGAGCACAGTAAGGGAGGGGAGTTCTCTTCAGGACAGGTTTGAGGAGCCAGCTGCCTGATCTGCTGATGAAGAAAGCTACAAGTGAATTCTGCTGCAGGACTGAGCAAGCCCCATCACCATGGGGCGGGCGGGGAGGGAGGACTGACGTTCGGCAGGGACTCCTATGTGTCTGGATGGATCAATGAGGTGAAAGTCTGTTTTGAGAGGCTTCTTGCTTCTCGTAACAGTTCCCATTTTTCTAACCCAAACTACCTTCCAGGCCTTGTGATAAGTGCCTTACATACATTATCTCATTTAACACAACAAGACTCAGAGGGAATATTATTTTCTCATGTTTTTACAGAGGAGAAACTGAGGCTCGGAGACGTCTGGTGATGTGGCTAAGATCACGCACCTGCTAAGTGGTAGAGCCAGGATTTGGACCTCGATCTACCAGAGCCCAATGCCAGTCTACTTAGCCACCCCGACAGACAGCTACCACCATCAACTATCCCACCTGGAACTGCTTTAGGAAGGAATGAACAGTGGAAACCTGGGGAGCAAAGATTGAGCCTCTCCAGGGAACGTCTGTCAAGAATGAAAGGAACAAGTAAACCATCTGAGGGTGCTGCCCGGGTTATGTGATCATTTAAAAATAATGATAATAGGGGCACCCGGGTGGCTCAGTCAGTTAAGTGTCCAACTCTTGGTTTCAGCTCAGGTCGTGATCTCAGGGTCGTGAGATCCAGCCCCATGTTGGGCTCCACACTCAGCACAGAGTCTGCTTGAGATTCTCTCTCCTTCTCCCTCTGCCCCTCCCCCTGCTCACGCTCAATAAATAAATACATACATACATACATACATAAAATCTTTTTTTTATTCTTATGTTAATCCCCATACATTATATCATTAGTTTTAGATGTAGGGTTCCATGATTCATTGTTTGTGCATAACACCCAGTGCTCCATGCAGAATGTGCCCTCCTCAATACCCACCACCAGGCTAACCCATCCTCCCACCCCCCTCCCCTCTAGAACCCTCAGTTTGTTTTTCAGAGTCCATCATCTCTCATGGTTCATCTACCCCTCTGATTTCCCCTGCTTCATTCTTCCCCTCCTGCTACCTTCTTCTTTTTTTTTTCTTAACATATATTGCATTATTTGTTTCAGAGGTACAGATCTGAGATTCAACAGTCTTGCACACTTCACAGCGCTTACCAGAGCACATACCCTCCCCAGTGTCTATCACCCAGTCACCCCATCCCTCCCACCCCACCCCCCACTCCAGCAACCCTGTTTGTTTCCTGCGATTAAGAATTCCTCATATCAGTGAGGTCATATGATACATGTCTTTCTCTTTTTGACTTATTTCGCTCAACATAATACCCTCCAGTTCCATCCACGTCGTTGCAAATGGCAAGACCTCATTCCTTTTGATGGCTGCATAATATTCCATTGTGTATATATACCACCTCTTCTTTATCCATTCATCTGTCGATGGACATCTTGGCTCTTTCCACAGTTTGGCTATTGTGGACATTGCTGCTATAAACATTGGGGTGCACGTACCCTTTCGGATCCCTACTTTTGTATCTTTGGGGTAAATACCCAGTAGTGCAATTGCTGGATCATATGGTAGCTCTATTTTCAACTTTTTGAGGAACCTCCATACAGTTTTCCAGAGTGGCTGCACCAGCTTGCATTCCCACCAACAGTGTAGGAGGGTTCCCCTTTCTCCGCATCCCCGTCAACATCTGTCGTTTCCTGACTTATTAATTTTAGCCATTCTGACTGGTGTGAGGTGGTATCTCATTGAGGTTTTGATTTGGATTTCCCTGATGCCGAGCGATATTGAGCACTTTTTCATGTGTCTGTTGGCCATTTGGATGTCTTCTTTGGAAAAAATGTCTGTTCATGTCTTCTGCCCATTTCTTGATTGGATTCTTTGTTCTTTGGGTGTTGAGTTTGATGAGTTCTTTATAGATTTTGGATACTAGCCCTTTATCTGATATGTCATTTGCAAATATCTTCTCCCATTCTGTCAGTTGTCTCTTGGTTTTGTTGACTGTTTCCTTTGCTTTGCAAAAGCTTTTTATCTTGATGAAGTCCCAATAGTTCATTCTTGCCCTTGCTTCCCTTGCCTTTGGCGATGTTTCTAGGAAGAAGTTGCTTCGGCTGAGGTCAAAGAGGTTGCTGCCTGTGTTGTCCTTTAGGATTTTGATGGACTCCTGTCTCACATTGAGGTCTTTCAACCATTTGGAGTCTACTTTGTGTGTGGTGTAAGGAAATGGTCCAGTTTCATTCTTCTGCACATACATACATACATAAAATCTTAAAAATAAATAAATAAAATAAAAATAATGATAATACACAAGGGTCACATTTGGAGGTTGCTAGGATACCAACTCATTAGGATATCAACACACAAGAAGCAACTAGCCAAATCCAGAATATAGGAATTTCTGCAGGAGAAAGGATCATATTTCTTCCACAAATGAATAGCATGACAAAGGTGCAGGGTGGGGGTGAGGCGGTATGGGATTGTTATAGATCAAAAAAGATTTAAGGGAGCAACTGCTACTAATTTTTCCAATTTATGGCCTTTTGTAACCATTGCTTTACCTACAAAAAAATTCTCTTTTCCAAGGTGACCTATCCCACCTTGAAGCAGGACTCGACATTTCATCTCAGCCTGTGGCCCCAAATATTTTCCATAATCAAGAATGAGTGATATAAACTTTACCAGATTTTATTGATGTGGTGGAGGGAGGATCTCACACCCCACTAATCCCCATCCAACACAAGTCTTCTCCCAAACATCCTTCCCCCGACTGCCCTTTAATCAGTCTCTAGCTTTCTCCTAGAATCCCAGAAAGCTAAAGGTTATTTTCCCAAGGATGACTTTGATTTCAGCAATCAAAACAATGTTCAACCACAACCATTCAATGGGAAAATTATAAATTACAAATAATTTTTTTCTTTTGTAACTTTTCCTGTCACACAAGCTAATGCCTCCAATTCGTCAGACTACTACACAAACAACATACAGTCATCCCCACTTACATGTGGAGGATACATTCCAAGACCCCTGTTGGATGCCTGAAACCGCACATGGTACTCCACCCTACATATGCTAATGTTTCTTCCTATAGGTACACACCTGTGATAAAGCTGAATGTATAAATTAGGCACAGCAAGAAATGAACAACAATAACTAATAAAATAGAACAATTGTAACAATATACTGTAGTAAAAGTTACGTGAGTGTGGTCTCTCTCTCTCAAAATATCCTATTTTGCTTTACTCACCCTTCTCAGACGATACAAGATGATAAGATGCCCACGTGGTGAGACAAGTGAGGTGGATGACGTAGGTGTTGTGACATCATGTGACACGCAGCTGCTACTGACCGTCTGATGATTCGTCAGAAGGAGGAGCATCTACTTCCCTATGGTGGTCGACAGGGTCACTGAAACTGCTGAAAGCCAAACCACAGATAAGGGGGAGACTCCTGTAATTTCAAATTTTCTCACTTTCCTAGACAAACATTTGAATTTACTCCAGTTTAGTTATATCTACCTTCACGTGTAGAACACAAAACGACATGTAAAATCATGGTCTGAGATTTTAAATACAGGAAAGGACCCTAATCTCCATCATTCTAATAATTTTACTTCCACGGATGTGGCTTTGGGCCCCCAAAACTTTTATAGGGATCACTTTTCACCAGTTATTTATGTTGAGATTCTGGGCAACAGAAATCCTTTTTTGCACATACTTCCCTGACACCACATCTTTGTTTTCACGCTGAAGGGTTGACATCTACAAGTTCTGCCAATTAAATATAATTGTAACAGATTAGTGTATCATTTTGTTCTGTCAACATTTCAGGCACCCCAGTTCTATTACCCAGCATTTTTATATTCCTAACTCCTTTTAATGTCATATCTGAAAATATGAGGCACGTGTCGACTAGAAATTGCTAAATAAGGCAGAACTGAGGGCAGAGCACATCATCTGCCCTAGAAACCTCTCTCCAAGTTAACTTGTCTCCATTTATCAAAATTCCTGGTAACTTCTACAGACCACCACATTACTTTCTGTTCCCAAGTAGGATAGCTGAATGCTCTTCAGTTTTTCCAAGGATCGTGTCATGTTCCTGTTCTACAATTTCTGCAATCCACCTTTCTCCTGTCCTGAAAATCAGAGACTCTGTGCAAGGTGTGCAGGTGATATATTACTTAAGAGTGACACATATACGGAGAGACCATAACCCTGGTAGATATTGTATATTTGAGTATTGAGTATTATCCAAATTGTTCTGGCAGAAGGCCACAAAATGTCTTATTCTCTAAAAATTATATTACGATAATTTTTCGACAGATGGAAGCAAAGTATGTTGAGGAAGAGGTGCCTTTTGCTACATCACACAAAGGCTTCATATGGGCCAGTGGTGGCTTTGCTGAAATTATATTAACTCACACTCTAAGTGAACGTTTGTGTCCCCGCAAATTCTCTGTTAAAACCTACTCCCCAGTGGGAAGGTGCTTGGAGGTGGGGCCTTTGGGAGGTGCTTGGGTCATGAGGGTGGAGTCCTCATGAATGGGAAAAGTGCCCTTACAAAGGAGACCCCAGAGAGTGCCCTTGCCCCTTCCACCACTCAAGGACCCAGGGAGAAGAAAGGCCATCTATGAAGTAGGAAGCAGTTCCTCATCAGACATCAAATCTGCCAGCGCCTTAATCCTGGATTCCTTCTTCAGAACTGTGAGAAATAAATTGTTTCTGTTTATAAGTCACCCAGTCTATGGTATCCTGTTACAGCAGACCAACCTGACTAAGACAACTCCCCTCCAATCTCCTGGACAGCACCAAATTTTCCACAATTTCTCAAAGATTGCTGACAACAACTTCATATAGCTCTAGCCCTTTGATCTCCAGAACATGCTTCATCTGAGCATATAGTTCCCACTATTTCCTTAACCATATTTGGTTGCAGTTCCCTTTTCACACCATTCTACCCTTTCCAGTTTGAAGACCATACGAGAGAGAGAGAGAGGGAGAGAGAGAGAGAGAGAGAGAGAGAGAGAATGGAAGAACAGATTGGGAATGATTCTCTCTTCTTTGTCAACAGCCTGGGGCCATGCTGTGACCAGGTCGCCTCTCCTTTATGCCCATATGCCCACTGGGATCCCTTCCTCCCAAACTTCCTGTCCCTGCCTTCCTCCCAAGAGTGCTCCATTGTCCAGGGCTTCCTCTCTGATCTCATTGCACTGGTAACTGCCATTGATTTAGCTTCTGTTCTCGCACCTGTCTTCCTGCTACTTGTGCTCATCAACTTAATGAGATTATCAAGCTTCCTCCCTTCTTGAACCAAAGATCTCTTTAATTGGGTCCACTTTCCTTTCTCCACAACACCTAAGCATACATTTCTTCTAAGTCAGCTTTCTGTTCTGAAAAACCTGCCGCTCTGTCCACCAGGTGTGCTCCCCGGCTGGCCTGCGACCTGCCTAGTGAAGCCACCTTCCTCCTGTCACTGTGAAAGTCTCCCGAGGCAAAGCTGTCATTATACCCGGCAGACAGTGTGCTGTGAGAAACCCACGATTCCTCTCTTTTCACTCTAAAGTTCTCATTGATTTTTCTCCAGAGAGACAATAAAGCAATTTCTACCATAAGGTCATCAATGCCTTTTTTTAAGTTTCCTTCAATATATCACTTTCTTGGAGAAATGTTTTCTCTTCAAGCTCCTTCTTTCTAGTTTTGCTGTTCATACTTCTCAGGCGTCCCCCTCTGTCAAGAATGCCTTTGTTTATCATTAACTTAATTTGGAGCTGCTGGTCCATGTCACAGCACCTCCTCAAGTTATCAGAGTTGTCAAATTATTACCAATGGGAGACTCCAATTGTAAGATTTTTGTCCTAGCAAATTGACACTCTGACCTTCGTGCATGCATGCCTTTTTTCCACAAATACATATTGAAGATCTCCTATATGGCAAACATTGAGACCTAAAGTCCTATCTCAAATATAACTAGAGTTCTTTGTGACTCCATTTGGTGCATGGAATTGTAATCAAATAAACTATAGTTTGATAAACAAAGGTAGTTAAAAACAATTCGAATCATTATCAGTGGCAGGCAGAAGACCACATTCTTAGTCCCCAGTAAAACACTGTAACATTCCCTTTGCATATCTCTCCCATTCTCTGGCTCTGGGGCTGCTGGCAGAACTCTCCTGGACACTCTGGGTCACCATGAAACACTGACCTGTCATAGAAGCATCTCCCCCTTCTCCCCACCTCAGCTATAAGCATGTAGAAATACAAGATAAAACACACAAGTCTCTTAAAATAAGAACTTTTTCAATACATATATGAATTAGAAAGCAAGGAAATCCACTGATGCAGTGAAGGAGAGATATGCACAGCTCGACCCAGGGGCAAACACTAAAGTCATGTGGTTCACAGAAGGATGAGAACCTCAAGTGGCTGGGAGGCTCAGGGACAAGTAGCAAAGCCTCCCGTTCTTGCAAAAAAGAGAAGATAGAATGGACCCCACACACCATGCCCTGAGCTAGGAAGGGTTGCCTGGGGCATCAGATGGAGGCCAGGAAATGCTACACACTGACCTGGAGAAAGGGTCTGTTCCACATCTCAGGCCACTCTCTTCCTGCCCTTCTATCTAAACTCGGACTTACTCCCATCCATACCCTAAGCCACAAGCACACCCTGAGGCCTCCAGCCATGTCTATCTTCCCTTCCTGGGAAACCCCACACTCCACCCACCAGGACTAGGCCCTGGACCATGAACATCACCCATGGTGTTCAAAGGGAAGGGAAGGGAAGGGAAGGGAAGGGAAGGGAAGGGAAGGGAAGGGAAGGGAAAAATAAGATGTGATTTGTCTTCTGAAAGGACCTTGACTGCTATGCATTAGCAGTACCATTATAAGGAACTCTGAGCATCCCCTCTGAGTGAGGTCTTCTTGAGAGTTCCAAGGGCAAGGCCAGGTGAATGAACAGCAAGTCCCATATTTCATGCAGGCTGGATTTCCTCAAAGACTGAGAAACCTACAGATCTGGACAACTTCCACATTCTTGGGTAACCTTTCCTTGTAACTGAATAAGGATTAGCTAAGTCAAGGGTCAGAAATGATTTTTAAAACAGGAGGAAATCTCGTTCAGAGTAGCTCTCTTGCTCCCAAAACAAAGCATGAACTCCTGTTGGGTAGATTATTAACTGTGATTTTTGGCTTTGCCAGTCTAAATTACTGCTTTTGCTAGATTCCCTTAGATATAGGCCTGTCTGTTCTTGGGAGCTTCTTCAGGAGAAGTTTCTCTCTAACAAGAGAAACACAGTGAAAGTTTTCACTGAGAACACAAGTGACCAGACATATTTGACCCTGCAGATGTTTGGACAAGCATTTACTAAGCAGTTACAAAGTCTGCAGGTCAGAAGGACTTGGAGAATCGTTTGTACTTTGTACCAGGAAAAGCAAATACCTTGTATATTATCTCTTTTTTGATGAGAAGTGCAGACACCTGATGGAGACAGGTCTACAATGAAACAATCACTCTGTCATCTCGGCCCTTCTTATCCCTATGGTCACAGGACTCCACAGCCAAGGCTCCAGGCCCCAACATGAATGTGTCACCAGCCCATCCCCTGTGTGTTGGCATTGGCCTTGGGGTGAGCTTGGGGCTGAGCAAGTCCAGCACATATTTTCTTTGTAGTGTTAGCAGGAATTAAAAATTAGACAAAAGAGTATGGTACACAGCGGGGAGGAATCCTCCTCACTAATCTTTGCCAGAATTGATGACATCAGGTACACCCTTAGGGGACTTGCCTTGGATATCAGCATCACACTGTGGGCACCCACAGCCACAGCAAAGGTGAGGAGCCCCTTTATGAAGTCTCAAGGGTAAAGGGATCAGGAGATCTCCTCTGAAGGCAGGAGAGAAGTTCATGGACAGATGAGAAGTGGCAAAAGAACTGATAGTTCAAAGAACTCACATGAGACACATCCTGGGGCACCAGAAGGAGCCCCACCAACCTCCGGCAGAAGGCCAACGTGTCAGATCTTACAGGACACAAGAGGAATCTAGGTAGTTTTTCTTCTCAATGGGGAGGGTGTGCTAGGTCCTCAAAACTCTAAACCTAAAGAGAGGACTATGGGAGGAGAAAAGACAGGGAGTCTAGGGAATGAGGTACAATCATCATAGGGAAGCTATACCCCCTTAGGCCAAGTGCTCTGCAGCAAGCAAGGAAAATGCAAAAGAGAATCATAATTCCCAATTCCTGCCTTACCTCTGTTGCCCTCCCCATCATCCAGCTTTGGGCATTTAAATTGAGCTCTTGCAGGAAAACAAGTGCAGATCTCCATCACAGTCAAATGTTTAACCAGTCTAGGAAATGCAGGCAATGCATGGGCTTCTGATAGGCATCACATGGATTATTAAGCAGAGAGGAGAAATGACCAGCCAACA